TCCCTCCCTTCTTTTCCACCCTCTCTTTCTCCTCTGTTCTTCCGTTTCATTCATTCTCTTTTCAACTCCGTTTCTCCCTCCCTTCCTCCTTTCGTTTCTTCCCTACATTCCTTTCTCTCCTCCCTCCGTTTTTTCCTTACTTCACTCTCTCCCTTCTTCTTTCCCTTCCTTCTCTCTCCCTTCCTCCTTTCCCTTCCTCCTTTCTTCCTGTCCTTCTCCCTCCCTCCGGTTCTCCTTCATTCCTTCCCTTTCTCCCTCTTTCCTCTTGTTCGTTTCTTCCTACACCCCTTCCTCCCTTCGTTTTTTCCTTTCCTCCTTCCCTCCCTTTTCGTTTTTTCTTCCCTCCTCTCCTTCCCATCCCTCTCTCCCTCACTCCCTCACTCCCTCCCTCTCTCCTTCCCTGCCTCCTTCTCTCCCTCCCTCCCTCCCTCCTTCCCTCTCTCCTCTCTCTCCCCTCTCTCCTTCCCTTCCTTCTCTCCCTCCCTCCCTCCGTTTCTTCCACCCTTCACTCCCTCCTTGTTGTTCCTCCCTCTCTACCACCTCAGGGGGAATGTGTAGGGAAGCTAATGGTTTAAGGCAAGCTTCTTGTGAGACCCCTGAGGGCGGGGGTTGGGTGGGGGGTGGGGGCGGAGGTGGGGCTTCCGACCCACTTCCGATATCCAGATTTTTCCCTAGACTTTTTCTTTCTTTCTTTTTTTTCTTATTCTTTATATCGTCGTCGTCTTTTTTCTCCTTTGTCGTCATCTTTTTAAGTTCATGTCTCCTCTTTTTTTTCTTCTCTTTCTTCTCTCTCTCTCTCTCTCTCTCTCTCTCTCTCTCTTCTCTCTCTCTCTCTCTCTCTCTTTCTCTCTCTCTCTCTCTCTCTCTCTCTCCCTCTCTCCCTCCTCCCTCTCCCTCTCCCTCTCTCCCTTCTCCCTCTCCCTTTCCTCTCCTCTCTTTCCTTCTCCCTCTCTTTCCCCTCTCTCTTTCCCTCTCCCCTTTTCTCTTCCCTCTCCCTTTCTTCTCTCTCCCCTCTCCTCTCCCTCTCCCCTCTCCCTTTTCTCCCCCCCTCTCTCCTTCTCTCTCTCGTCTCTCCCCTCCCTTTTTTCGTTAATCCTCAAGGAAAGAAACCCAAACATTGCTCCGCCCAGGGGACACAGGGATGGAGCGCTGGGTGGGGTGGGGGGTGGGGGAGAGTGTGGGTGGGAGAGGGGGCCGGGAGGAGGGAGTGGCTGGGAGGTGCATTATACGATGGCAAATGACATGAGCGCGGTTAAAACGATGGAGAACCCAACCTTGATCTACTTCTCGTTGTCTTCGTGTCTTAAACTTACCCAATTCGCAAGAGATCCAAGGAAAAAATTGTTCTTATTTTATCGCTCCTCTTAAAATAAGGGCTGTGCGTATCCTTTATAGTGCTTCGGTTACCTTTTCGATACCGACCTAGTATTAGCATAATATGAGTCCTATAACTACCTCTCTATCCTCATGTCCCTTACTCATCTTATATCCTCCCTACTCACTCCCCCTTATTACCTCTCCCTCTCTTTCTTTCTTTTACTACTATATGTCTTCTCTTTCTCACTATCTCTACTCTCCTTATAAATATTTATTACCCCTATTCCCATTACATCTACGTGCTACTCCCTATTTATGGGCTTTACTATATATATACCTCTTCATTATTTTATTAAGTACTTTACTTATATGTTTCTCTCTCTATATTACCTTCATCTACCTCTCCCTTACCCTTTATGGCTATAATAGTATATCAGGACCTTATATATGGTTGCTATATATTGTAGTAGTATTGTTGATATATGATCACTGTGTAGAATTAGCCGCAAAAGATAATGTAATATGATTGTAATATTATTATTTTTATTGTATTATTATTATATTATTATTATATTGTTATTATATTTATATATTACCATTATTATTGTTATTATTATTATTATATATTTATAATTATTATTATTATTAATTATTATATATTATTACTTTTTTATCTCTCTTTTTCGCAAAAATGATTTTTTTATATTTGTGTCTGCCATATTGGGAAATTTGCTGCGCGCGGCGGATAAAGTCCGACGCGCACTTGGTATTTCAGCCGCAGTTCTGGCCGCGCATTTGGACAAATTCTTTTTTTTTCATCCCGCCATTTAGTAATCGGTGGGCTCAAATGCGCAACCCGCGAACTGAGAATTCCTTGAGTTGAAGCCAATGACTGATTGGACCAACGAATTACTCAGCAAAAGAGGATACTTACTCAGAGCATTTTTGCTATCAATCTGTACGTGAGGTCAGTGCGCGCAGTTTCTGCTTTAACTAAACAACTAAACCTCGCCGCGCAATTTGCACAAAGTTTCCAATATCTGGGTTGTTGTGTGGGTATGATTGTTAGCGCAAAATGTATAATTGTAGATCGTATCCGTGTTTGTTAGTTTTTCTCTTATTTGACAATTACATAGCGGTGAAAAATTATATATTGGGATTTTTTTGTTTTCTCACCTCCAATAAAAAAAAAAATGATATGTATATTATGTATATATATTATAGTGATATGAAAATCACTATTATTAATTAATTAAGATTAATTAATTAAAAATTTAAACTATTTTCTTTTCTCTCTCTTTTCATTCGCTCTGGTCTCTCTCCTCTCTCTCCTCTCTCTCTCTCTTCTCTCTCTCTCTCTCTCTTCTCTCTCTTCTCTCTCTTCTCTCTCTCTTCTCTCTCTCTCTCTCTCCCCTCCCTTCTCTCTTCTTCTCTCTCCTCTGCTCTTCTCTCTTCTTTCTCTCTCTCTGTCCTCCCTCTCTTTCCCTTCGTCCCCTCTCTCCTTTCTCTTTCTCCCTCTCTCTTTCTCTTCTCTCCCTCTCTCCCTAATTTCCTTAATTTTTACTGAATAGGTGCAAAACCTACTTATCGTCTTAAATGGCTCCCCGCCTCCATCCTCAACCCCTTCCCCCACCCCGCCTTCCTCCCTCCTCCCTCCTCCTATCCTCCTCCGCTTAACTATTCCCGCACTTCCTCCTTCTGCCTCACTTTGCAGCCCTTCCTCCCCCGCCTTCCTCCCCCCCTCTTCCTCGCCCGCCTCCCTCCCTCCCTTCCTCCCTCCCTCCCCCCTCTCTCTCCCGCCCCCTCCTCCCTCCCCTTCCTCCCTCCTCACCTCCCTCCCTCCCTCCCTCCCTCCTCCCTCCCTGCACCTTCCTCCTCCTCCTCTTCATCCCTCAATTGGCACATCGTAGAATCGACTAATGATGGATGCAGTTGGGTTTTCTTTTTCGTTTTTTATCGTTCTCTTAGTCTTCGTCTTCGTCTGTGTGTTTTCCTCTCCGCTTCTCTTCTCTTCTCTTTGTCTCGCTCTTCTTTTTTTTTTCTTTCCCTCCTCATCGTTATCCTTATCTTTTCCTCATTCCCTTCTCCCTTCTCCTCCTCATCTTCCTCCACGTCCTACTCCTCCTCCTCCTCCTCCTTCCCCTCCTTGCATTTTTTCTATTTTCACCCTCCTCTCGTTTCCTCCCACTCTTTTCCCTCTTCTTTATCTTCTCATTCCCTTCCTCCCCTCTCGTTTTTTTTCCTTTCTCATTCTCTGCTGTTCACTCCCCTTCACTCTCCCCCTTCCACTCATCTTACCCCCTCCTCCTGCTGCTGCGCTCCTCCTCCCTTTCCCCCTCCTTCTGCTCTCCTCTTTCTTCTTTCACTCCTCCTCTTCCTCTTGCTCCTCCTCCTCCTATTCCCCGTTTTTAGCCAATCCCCTTCCTTTCCTCTCCCCCTTCCTCCCTAGACAATAAGCAACGTGAGTCTTTCTCTTCCTCCTGATTCCCCCTTCGGCGCCCGCACGCCCTCACCCGTGTCCGTGTCTCTTCCCCTCGCAGGCTGTGCACAAGCGGTACCTGCGGTGTCCGGCAGCGGTGCAGGTGTCACACTTGGAGAAGTTCATCCGCCTCAAGTACGGCCTCCAGCCCGCCACGCACAGGGTGAGTGTCCGAGGAGGTCTCGGTCCCCCTTTTTTTCTGTTGAAAAGTTGTCTGTGATCTGTGTTTATTTCGTGATTCGTTGTTGGATTTGATTTGTGACCGTTTTGATTTCGTGTTTCGTGGCAGGTGGACATCATGCACGGCGAGGACTGCCTGATGGGCGAGCTGACGCTGCTCGACGTGGTGTACATGTACAAGTGGACGGAGGACGCCCCGCTGCGGCTCCTCTACACGGTCACGGCCATCCCGCAGTCCCGCAAGCGGCCCAGGATCAACGGCACGCGGTCCATCACCGCCGCCGACTCGGACGCGCCGCCGCCGAAGCTCCCCCGGACGCAGGCGCCGCAGGAGGTGAGCCAGACGCCCCCCGCCGGCTCCTCCGTCGTGCCGGTGCCCGCGAAGCCGCCCTGCGTCCAGGAGCAGGGCGGGGACGAGCCCATGGAGACCGAGGCGGGCGTGAAGGAGGCGCCGACGACGGAGCCCGAGAAGAAGCCGGCCGTAACGCTGAGCTGCGCGCCCGCGGGCGTGAGCGCCGCGACGCAACCGCAGCAGACGACGGGCGTCGCCATCGCGTCCTCCGCCGCCAAGCCACAGGCCGCCCAGGTGGTCGGCGCCGCCCTCACGTCGGCCCCCGTGGCGTCGCGGGGCCGCCCGGCTGTCACCACCACCACGCCGGCCACCACCACCCCCAGGGTGGCCCTGCCGCACCCCCCGAAGGCCCTGCACGGCGCATCCAGTGCCTCGCCTGGCGCCGCCCCCGCGCCCGCCGTCGCCACCGCCGCGCTGTGCGCCACGACCGCCTCCGCCGGCGCTGCGGCCCCCCGCGCCCGGGCGAACGCAGGCCGCCCGCCCCCTCGTCAACGGCATCGCCGACGGCGCCGCCAAGCCGCAGGGCCCGCCGGCGGCCCAGCCCAACAAGGTGCCGCAGCCCATCATCCCGACGCGGCCGCGGCTCGGCGGCCGCCCAACGCCTCCCGCATCGCGGCGGTCAACATGAGGCCGCCCGGACCGAGGCTGGGCGACGCGCGGCCCCCCGCCCCCCCGCGCCGGCCGCCAAGATGGCGCCGCAGCCGCAGGCGGGCGCCGGCAGGGCAGCCCCACCGTGTCCGCCAGCCTCAGCGTGCAGAACCGCCTGATCAGCATCAGCGGCCCGCCCGTGCGCCCCAACTCCGCCAAGGTGTCGGTCAAGCGCCCTGGCGACGGCCGGGCGAGCGAGGCCGGCGGGGCCCCGCAGGAGGGCCCTGCCGCCGCGGGGGCCCGCCCCCCGCCCCCGCCACCTCCGCGCTACTTCCACCACGACGGCGGTGCAGAGCTTTCCTCCCGGCGGCTACGCAGAGACTCCCCGGCAGCGGCATAGCGCCCCCAGCGGCCTCAAGGCGCCCCTGGCGGCCCTCGCCCCGCGGGCCCCTCTACCGCCTCCGCGCCGCGTCCGGGAGCGCCCGCCACGCAGCGCCCCTCGTTGGCCGGCGTCCCGCGGCCCCCGACGCCCTCCCCCGCGCCCGGCCGCCCCTGCGACGCAGCGACCTTCGGGACCGGCCGCCCTTCGCCCGGGCGCGCCCGCCCCACAGCGCCATCCCGGTGCTGCGGGGGCCCCGCGCCCCGGCACCCCCGGCACTCAGCGGCCCGGGCATGCCGCCTTCCCCCGCCGGCGCGGCCGCCGCCCCGCGCCCCGGTGCCCCCGCCGCGCAGCGCCCGCCAGCCAGCGGCCCGCGGCCCGCCGGCGCCTCGCCCGCGCAGCGCCCTCACCTTGCGCCCGGGGCACAGCGCCCGCAAGGCGTGTCCCCGGGAATGGCCGCCATGCAGCGTCCTGCCTCCGCCGCGGCGCGCCCTTCCGGCACGCCCGTGTCCTCCAAGACGCCCAATGGTACCGTCCACCCACGGCCGCCCCCGTCGGCGGGCGCGCAGACGCAGCGCTCGCAGGCGACTCAGTGCGCGGCCAGACTCGCGGACGGCAGCGGCCCCCAGCGCCCGCCCGCCCCTGCGGCCTCCCCGCGCCCGGCCACGCCCAAGACGCCCTCGCACGACGGCTCGGCGCCCTCGCCGCAGCCGCCCGCTACGCCACCCGCCTCCCGCTCCACGCCCTCGCCTAGGGCGCTGCCCGGCGCCGGCATGGCGTATGCAAGCGGGCCGCCCACGCCCTCCGCCGGCGCGCCCCAGCTGCAGTCGAAGGGCGGCGCGCCCGCCTCCGTCGGCGGGTGCAACAAGCAGAGCATGGGCCGCCCTCCCGTGTCCAGCGCCCAGGCCCGCCCCCGCAGCCCGCCGCCCACCCCAGTGCCAAAAACCCGCCCAGCAAGACGCCGCAGCAGTCCCCCTCGGGCGTGAAAAGCTCGCCCAAGTCGCCCGGCGAGGGCGCGGGGCGCGCGCCGGCTCGCCCACCATCCTGAGCATCGCCCACAACCCAGCCAGCCCGCAGCAGCAGCAGCAGCAGCAGCAGCAGCAGCAACAACAACAACAACAACAACAAACAACAACAACAACAACAACAACAACAACAACAACAACAACAACAACAGCAGCAGCAGCAGCAGCAGCAGCAGCAGCAGCAGCAGCAGCAGCAGCTACAGCAACAACAGCAGCAGCAGCAGCTACAACAACAGCAACAGCTGCAGCAGCATCACCATCATCAACAACAACAACAACAACAACATCAACAAATGCAACAGCAGCAGCAGATGCAGCAGCGCAGCTCGACGCCCACCACGCCCACCACGCCCACCAGCACCATGCTGACCCCCGTCAGCGTCCCCAGCGGTCAGGTGACCAGCCAGCAGGCGTACGGCGCGGGCGCGGCGCCCGGCGGCGGGAACATGTACCCGGGCAGCGTGGGCGGCGGCTTCATGTCCCCGGCGCTGGCGGCGGCGGCGTACATGGCGTCTGCGTACGGCGACCCGCCCACGCTCAACGACGTGGCGGCCATGACCAACCTCATCACGCTGAGCCAGGCGGCCGCCCGCATCCGCGAGTTCAACCTGGCCAACATGGTGTCGGAGACGCTGCCGCGGCCGCTGGAGCCCACGCCCATCGACCTGTCGCCCACGTCGAAGGCCGCTCCGCAGACGCCGCTCACCAACGGCCGCGCCCACAAGACCACCGCCCACTCCGGCGCGGGCGGCAAGGGCGCGTCGACCGTGACCAAGTCGCCCTCGTCCAAGAGCAGCCGCGTGAGCGCCGTCGCCAGCCCCGCCACGCCCACCATCTCGTCGCCCACGCCCGAGGTCACCATCACCAAGCTCCCCAGCACGTCCGCGGGCGCCACCACCAGCAGCTCGTCCACGCCCGCGTCCGCCGCCGCGGGGAAGGGCGTGTCCGTGCCCGGCCTGGTCAAGCTGGGCGGCGGCAACACCAACACCGTGTCCATCACCAAGCGGCCGGCCTCCAGCAGCCGCATCGTGGCCAAGTCCCCCGCCAACGCCTCCGTCAGGCAGATCCCGAACCCGTCCTTCGTGCGCCACCAGTCCGAGGCCAGGAACAACAACAACCTGCCCAAGACGGCCTCCTCCGCCGCCGCCGCCAGCGCCACCTCCTCGGCCTCCTTCGTCAAGGCCGGAATCAACTCTTCCAAGGCGTACACGATGGCCAAGCAGGGCGGCATGGGCGGCCCCGTGGCGGGCAAGCAGGGCGGCCCGGGGATGGGCAAGCAGGGCCACGGGACGGGCAACTCGCCCCTGAAGGACATGGGCCCCCTGCCGGACACGTCGTCGTCCATCCTGAAGATGGAGCACCTGACGCGGTCGCTGGCCGCCGCGCCCGCCTCCGCCGCCCCCTCGGCCAGGCTCTTCGACTCGAGATAGGGAAGGGCGGCGCTAGGCTCTTATCGAAGGCGCGAGGAGGAATAGCGAGCGATAACCGGTGGACGAAGAGGGTTAGGAAGGGCCGAGGCAGCTGCGCGTGCGTGCGCCCGGCCGCCCGCCCGTGTCCTTGCGCACTCAGTCGATTTATGCAACGATAGAAACACAGAGCGCGAGTGCTTGCATGGAGCCCTTGGGAACGTTGCTGCGCGAAAGTGCGCCTGGCGATGTTCCGACGAGAGTGCGAAGCGAATGCGAAAAGAGAGAAAGATGCAAGATGAATTCTTATCCAGTCTCGGATTTTATCCACCCAAGAACTCAGATTCAGTGCCACATCCCAGTGCCTTCCTCATGCAGCGATCTTCGTGCGGAATCAACACAATACGAATTACTACTGCGTTTACCCTATATCCAAACCTCTTCGCGTGATCTGCCGATGGACTAGTGAGAGGACCCTGTGTGCTCGTCTTTCCCTTGAATTCGAGCCGGGGAAGTGATGTGGATTTTGGGATTTGTCGGAGAAACGGCGAAAGGTCTGAGACGGAAGTGTGTGTGCGTGTTCGTAGGAAGTGACCCATTTATTTTTTTATGATCTTGAAGAAAAGGAGTTGGTGGTGATTATGCCACACCACGGTAAGGTTTCTGACATGGACAGAATGTGGTGTGGCGATGAAGGAAAGGGAATTTTTTTTCTTGTGTGTATCAAATACGGGATAGAAGATACACAAAAGGAACACAAAGGTCAGAGAAAGAGAAAAAAAAAAAGATTACGAGATTTTTGGAGAGAGAAAGAAAGGAAAAATAGCGAGAAATCATTTAAACCCATTGATATACAAGGCAAATGTTATCTTCCAATAGATTATGAAACACTCCGACACATATCTGAAAAAGCTGTGAAAAAAACAACTTGAATAGGTAACGAGATTCTTTGTGCTCATGCATATCATTATCACCAATTTACGTTGGAGCCAAAAAGGAGTCACATTTTTATTTTCTTTTTCTTTTTTTTTCTTGCGTTTCTAGAAGTTAATAAACAGTGGAGTGCGCTGTTGAAGTAGCACAGGAAAATGACCTTTATTCTTTTGTCACTCTTTGGTTTCAAAGGCAATTGTGATTAATACCACCTCCCCCACCCCACCCCCACCCCACCCCGATCCTCTCTCCTACCCTCAGACCCTGGCAAGTAAAACACATCGTTTTTTAGTCGTGTGTTCAACCAGCAGACAAATACAAACAATATAAAACATATATCTTAAGTTATAGAGGATGACTTCTAAAATTAGGTCCTCAGGTGACTATAGTGGACCCACATGTTACTTTATAGATCGGACACTCTAGTGACTATAAAGTGGGCCTTCAGTTGATCTATAAACTTTATAGATTAGGTCCTCAAGTGGCTTCATAGGTGAGGGCCCCCCCCCCCAAGTGGCTTTACAAAATGGGCCCTCTTAAGTGGCTTTATAAAATTGGGCCCCAAAGTGACTTTACAAATTGGGCCTTTCAAAGTGGCTTTATTAAATGGGCCTCCCCAAGTGATTATACAAATTGGGCCCCACAGGTGACCAGTTCGGTGTTTCTTAGTCATTTTTTCCCCCACACTTTTTTGTATGATAGATTTCCAGATGCCTTGTTGATTAGGGGTCTTAAACGTCTGTAAATAGATATACTGTATATGTGTTTTGGTTAGACCTTTTTTGTGTGTGTGATTTTGAAGGGGGGTAGGGTATGAGGTTCACGAGATAGGGGGAAAGAAAACCAAATATTGTATATATATGGAAGGATTTGTAGATAATTTTAATAAAATACACGAATTATTGTACATGTTTTTGTTGACCTTTCCCTTACGGTTTTTATGTTGAATTGAGGTCATGACTTTGACCTTTAAGAATTGATATGTTTGTATATGAGAAAGATTTGAAAATTATGAATATGAAACACAAAAGAAGGAAAGAAAAAAGTTATTTTATTATTTAGAATAAAATGATTGTGTGGAACATCATTTTATAGTTTTACTAATAATTTCAGTAACAATGATGGTACTGATAATATACAATTACCATTCATGTCGTAATAAAATGAATATCATCAATAAAGATAACGTCAAAGAGAATGAAGAAATTCGAATAGAAATGATTTTATTAACAACAATGATAAGAGTAGTTAAAAATATAACTTTGTAAACTATTAGTTTTTAGAACTTTTTCCATATAAAATAATGATTATCATCAATACTACAAGAAAAAATAAGTGCGG